ACTGGGGTGCATGGAATACAGTATGTAGAGACATATTTAGATTTTTTTTTTCAGACAGTAGGGGAAACATGTGCTGAGAACTCCATAAAATGTCCCATTTGTTGGGGGAATGGCTTTATTAATATATTTAATGTAATTCTGATAATTTCCTATGATATTTGGCTAAATTCAGTAATGACTTATCATGACTGCTTATTACCTTGTTATCTCTACAGAGATGCATTACTGGAGTTTGACACATTTTGATTTGAAATGTAGAGGGTCAGTCCTAACATTGAATCCCAGTGGGCCCCTGGTAAGCTGGTTACTGACTGACGACCTGGGCCCACATCGTGCAGTTCACTGGTTTTTATGGATTTTACCTTGCATTTTCTGGCTTAAAGCTTTTCCCTTCTGAAATCATGAACTTAGATCTGCTATCAAAAGTCCTAAAAGGGATCATTGAGGAATCATTCCTGTCTCTTTGGTACCTATTGCTTAATTTAAATAGCGAATAGCTTCCCTGCTCAGCAACCTACACCAAAGAAATGCTCAGAGCTTTTCTCCTTTGATGCTAAGAACATGGAACTGTAGAACTGGAAGAATTCTTAAAGCCTTTGTGCAACTCTCTGCTTTTACGGTTGAGGAAACCGAGGTCCAAGAAGTGAAGTGTAAGGAAATCATCAGGTACAGGACAAGATTAAACCTCCTAACTTGTGTTTTGTTCCATGTTCTGCACTTTCTGCTGCCCGTGAAAGCTGAAACAAAACAAAACAAACAAATATCCATCTCCCCTGTCTCCCCAAACCCAACAATCTATTTCTAAAATAAAGTTGTAGCTATTTCTGAAACAGAGCAAGACAACCCATTCCCATCACTGAGGAAATAATGACCCTCTTGGCAGGGAAGCTGCTGCTCTGAGATGTGGAAGGAGCCCAATCACTCCCCAGGGACCAGGCTGCAAGCTCTTCCTTCACAAGTGATGGAGGCTGAAAGAGTGCTCTCTCCTTCCTAACATAACCTAATTGCTGCTTCCCTGCTAACCCCCGCACTCGCTCTGTGCCAAGCTCTGGCTCCCACCCAGCCCCTCCTTGAGGCGGAGCCAATTCCCAGACTCCCTTGTCCCAGAACCAGTCCAGAAAGGCCTTAGCAGTCAGCGAGGAGGAGCTCTATACCACGGCCTGGGGGGTCCGGTTGCCCAAGCTCCAGCCGCCTGGGTGGGCAGCCAAGACACCTCCTCTGCAGAGACCTGCCCCAGCTCAGTGAAAAAGAACACAGAAGGGAAGGGACAGATTAATGTGGCACTGGGGTGCTGCTGGGGGTGGGGTGTGAGAGACTGCTTGCTCTCGCTGACCCCTCCTTCTTCAACTGGCAGAAATTCTGAGTGTCACATGCCATATTCTTAAAGTCAGCCAAAGATTAAGCTGTTGGGATCCCGGAACCATACACACACTCTTGATGCCCAGGACAGCAGGTGAAGCTGGAACTGGGACAGTGCAGGCAGGTGCTGGTGACTTCTCTGTAAGGAGACTTTGTAAGCTTACTTCACTATTCCTTTCCTTGGGGTCAAGTGCCTGGTTTATCTGTCAGCGGCCTCTCTTGTACCTTTGAGATTTATTATTAGGATTGTCAGGATGGATTGATCAATTCTTTGATTTATGTGTGGTAACTATACCTGGCCAGTTTGCAAAGAGCAGGCAGAACACGTGGGAGCCTGCCTTTTTCTGCAGTAAGCCTCTGTGTCTCCTAGACACAGGTTCACCCCTCAACCTTTGAAGCCCCACAAATGAGTCACCATCAAGGGGAGGGTGACATTCATTCTCTATAAGCTTATACTTTCATATGTTGTAGCAACATTTCTCAAAATTGAGAACTCACAGACTCCTAGCTATGCTTGCAGACCCTACGGGATGCCCAGGCCTAGTCAGAAAAACACATTAAGTTAAGTTGTTTTATTTCATTTGAGTTGATCAATCAGCATGAGTGACATTGTAAATGCAAAGAGAAACTCAGACCCTGAAGCCAGATGGCATCACCTGGCTATAAGGTAGTACCCTCACATGAAGACACTGATGTTGATTTTGATTTTTTTAAAGAGAAAATGAAACAAAAATCTAGACCTCCTTTTAGAACTGATGGACTCTTCTTCAAGCTACTCCCCCTGCCACTCCGGGCACTTTCAGGGATTCCTACCTTCTATTGTGAGGAACAGGGTTGTAGAAGAGTCTTTCCTCTAACGAGCAAGACCTCCCTCTAAGGAAAGAGCAGGAGATGGGCCTGTGGCCCCCATAGCAGAGTCAGACTAAACAAGGGAAACCCACTGACCACATAGTTCTGAGTTGGGAGGATCTTAGTGACCCTTTCCTTCAAGGCCATCTGATTCATGACTCCCTTGTCAATATCCTAGTCCATCACCGGACAGCTCCTCCTTTTCAGCCAGAGCTGGCTGATCTAGAATTTTCACTGATTGGTTTTGCTCTTGACATCTGGGACCATGTGGAATTAAAAAAAAAAAAAAAAATCCGCAATATGTTCTCTAAGCCTTTTATGAAACATGGAGTTGTTCCATTGGCTACATACATGCGAATCTACAAGAAAGGTGATATTGTAGTCATCAAGGGACTGGGCGCTGTTCAAAAAAAAAAAAAAAAGCCCCAAAGATCTTGGGGTAGAGGGCATGCAGTCCTAATTTTGAGCTAGCTTGCTTGCTTGCTTTCCTTTTTTCCTTCCTTCCTTCCCTCCCTCCCTCCTTTCCTTCTTTTCTTTCTTTCTTTCTTTTTTCTTTCTTTCTTAATATAATGGATACAAGTTCATTGGAGCAGCCAGTGAATGCACTGATTTGCTTCTGAAAAATGTACAGATGGGGGAGATGAGAGTTTGGAGGAGACGCACAGATGGAGAATTCTTTTCATTTTGATTTGTCACTGAGCAGAGACCTGAAGTTGCTGAGGGTGTCAAGACTCACAGATGCAAACACAGGGAGGAAGAATGATACAGACACATGGCAGGCACAGCCGGCAGGGAACGTGTTTCTGCAGGGTTCAGACATACGAAGGAGGACACATAACCAAGGACGGGATGAGAACTTCAGCATGAGTCCCTGGTGTCCTCCCATGGGGACAGAGCTGAGTACTCAGGAGTGGTTGGAGACTCTGTAATGTTTCCAAATGGCAGACAAGCTGCTCCTGCCACTCGCCCCTATCCCCTACCCCCATCCTTGAAGAATGAGTCCTGTCTCTGCCTTGAATTTGCCAAGCCAGGCATTGCTGTCTGATTTGTGTGGGGCTTGATCAATTGAGTGATTTTGTACCGTTGCTTGTTTTGAAATCATTATTCTTTTGGGCGCCCCTTACATGTAGATATGCTAACCTTGTTTTTGTGGTTCTCATTACTGAAAATTTTGTACAGTTCTGAGCACAGATCCACATCTACAGAGTTCTGATTTTGAAAGCATCTGCTGGCCTCTGTCACATTTTTTTTTCAGCTTAAACAGCTTTTCAGGGTCATTAGGTGACATGGTTAGAGTCTTCAGGATAAACCAATAATGAGATTCTTTCTTTGGTCACTAGATTGTTATGTAAAAAGTGTTTGAAATTTGTAAGCTTTTCAGTTGGTTGGTGAAACTCGATTATCATTTGAATTTATATGCCAACAGTGTGTTTGAAAAATGTATACAGAGGGTTGGTTTTGGCTATGTATAGAGGCATAGTGGGTAACTTGTGCCTGGGTAGTTCCCCCTGACTACTGTTGATAAACCTGAGACACTTCCAGCTGGCCTTGGCTACCTCAGTGGGGAAACCTAAAGCGGTAGAAGATGCTTCAGTCTACATTCTGCTGTTGCACTTGCTGAGATCTGCTGGTGGAAGTGCCGATCCTTCTCTGACCAGAACAAGGTGGGCCCCCTTCTTTTAGAGACTCACGGGCTGTCAGACCCTACTCAGCCCTCTGCCACCACTGCTGTGTGCTGTGGCCCACGGAGTGGGGAGCGCCTCCAACCCTCTCTGTCTGGGGATCCTGCCTTCTTCCCTGCTGTGTCTCAGATGGACAGAACACAGTTCCACCCATTCTTTTTGGGTCTGAGTTCTCTGGATAAGCCCTTACTTAGTGAAAAAAGACCCAGCCCTCAAACTAGAAAGCAGTCCTTAATTAGATGAGTATAGCAAGGCAGGCATTGAGGACTTTGTATGGGAAAATTCAGCTACTGCTGGGGTGCTTGCTGCCTGCCAGGTCGGGGAGAAGGGGAGCCTTATGCCTGCAGCTTCCACCAGGACTTCCCAGATGACCAAATGCTTTCCCAGGCCTAGATGTGCATCACTGTTCAGTCCGTGAGTCTATGAGGGGGAACTAGGCCATGCTTGTCAGATGTGGAGAACAGGGGCTGACTTAACTATTCCCTATATCCCCTGGACATTCTGCCTTTGAACTACTTCGGAGTGCTGGTAGTGGGAGAACTTAACTGGAGAGTTAGCACTGATGTTGACATGGGAGCCAGTTGAGGCCAAATGGCCACTGTAGGTTTAGTGGATGTTGTTTCACACACTCCCTAAACCATCTCTTGATGCTTCTGCTAGAGAGACCATGGGGTGAGATCGACCGTGGGGCTGAGCTAATGTAATGTTTTTACATTATCATCAGATACAGGAGAAGCATAGCGGGACAGGTGGCGATGCAGGAAGAGCAAGTCTCTTAATGTGGTGCCCTCCAGACAGCATTATAAAGCAACAGATATTGTCCTGATGCTTGTTAAGACTCTGATGAAAAGATGTCAGAAGCCAGTGTGAAAGTGAGGCTGTGAGACATTCGGAGAAGGCAGTCACCGTGTCCATGAGCTAGCTCCCCACCGACCAGGGGTACAGGCCCCACCTTGCTCTCCCCAGGACTGCCTCCCCTTAGGGCCTAAGTGCAGAGCTCTTTCTCCTCATTTTTTCCTTCCTTTCAATCCCATTATTCTTAACACTGTATCTAACTCCAAGGAATTTTAATTTTTGAATCACAATTCCAAAACCTTGTTTGAAGGGTAGTTTCGATTTATTAATGAACCAGAGAAAACAGCACAAAATGACTATGAAAGGCCAAGAAAGACAGACAGGGGTCATTCTGTCCAACTCTCCCCCTGAGTGCTGGTATAAACCCTCCTTGTGCCTCACAGATTGCGCCCCTTCGATGAGGGAAGGCTGGTATTGCAAGGGAAGCAGTTCTTTCCGGCTTCTGTGTGATGGGTGGGAAGCTCTCTCTACTTGCCACTGCAGGATCATAAACCTGCATATCTGAGATCTGAAAAACAGCTCTTGAAAAACCTTTTTTTTTTTCAGTTTGCAGCTGTACTTTTTCATACTTTTAGATTCATTTTTAATTTGTTTGAAACAGCACATCTAGAGACATTGCAAACCCAGCCCATTAGAGACAAGTCTTCTGTTTTTGCTGTTTAATAGTCTAGGTCCAGGCTGACCCCTCTCATACTTTGAAGAGAAAATAATAAGACCCGACATTAGAGTTTTTAAAAGCGTGAATATATATCATCTCATTCGATCCTCACAGCAGCCCTGGGAGGCAGGCAGGCATCCTGGTTCCAGGATCCAGAGGATGGATCATAACTGGTGGAGCTGGGAACCAAATCCCTGTCCTCCAAATCCTGGTCCAGAGCTCCTTCCACTCCGCAAGATGAACTGAGCTCACCTTGATGAGCAGGGCAATCTTTCCGCTTAGAATAGCTGAAATGTCCCTTTGGGCTGGCAAACAAAGGCGATTTTAAGTACAAGACCTCATCAGTGAGCTCAGGGGATAAACACCTGAGCTCAACTTGGCATCAACGTCGGAGGGATGAAAAGGACAGAATGTGGGTGTCTTGGACAAGGGTTTCTTCCTGTTTTCTTAATTCTCACCCAGATCACACTGGGTGCTGTAACTTGAATGCCAGCAAAGTCCAGGAGGAGGGAAGATACTCAAAGGACTTTCTCATCTAACAATTTATTGATTCCCTCACAAATCCTCTTGAGGTTGGGCCTACAGTCTCCATCTAGGCTATAAAGGGTGGAGAGAAACTCTACATCAGCAAAGTGGTTGAAGACGTGGTTGATGCGCCCATGGGTCCTGGGCGTCAGGTGTCGCTGCACCAGTTCATGTACCAGGTCCTTGCACTCGTGTAGGAGCTTGGAGAGCACGTTCCTATCGAAGGTGTATTCTACCTCATAGAAGCTGACGATGGTCATGGCAGTTTGGTTCAGCTTCTTCCTGAACTTCTCCACGATAACAACCTCCTCCTGGTTGAACTGGTTGTTCCGGTAGAGGATCCCAATTTTGATTGCCACCTTGATTAAGTCCTTCATGATCTTGTGGGCTTCCTTCTTGTTGTGGGTGTGCTCTTTGGTGACTTTGTAGAGCTCATCAAAGATCTCACTGCTGGTGTCATCAATCAACATGTTGGCCACAGTTTTGCTGGCTATTTTGCTCAGAATCTTCTTCTGGGCTTGAAGGGCAAGGCTCTTTGAACTAAAAACATCGGGACCTATGGTAAGGAAAGAAATAAAAGTTATGGAAACGTGAGAACCATTTACTACGTTTCTACAAGTGAAACACACTAATTTGAACTTATGTTCTTAGAGCAAAAACTCATGCCTTTATAGCCTAACTAAACCATACCCATGCCTAGTTACCCCACTGTCCTTTCCACATGACATGCTTGTTGACTCTCTTGAACCTTCTAAATTGTGTTCTTCCCTTTCTGGAAGTGGGCTCCTCTTGTCCAGACCAAATCTCACCTTTTTTAGACCTACTTCATGTATACAGCTTTCCCAGCTCTATGAGATCATGGAGAACTCCCTACAACCACTGCACTGGAAACCATTCGGTTTTGCAAATTATACAGGAGGAAATTATTGCTTAATAAAAAGCACATAGCACCAACGCCAGTCCCATTCCCGGGGCAGACATGGGTGTTTGACCGTGGTAGTCTTTATTTGACTGAGTCTCAGAATCCATACTTCATTGAGTCTAAGATGTATTTTTTTCCTGTTTGATATCTTAGAAATTGAGATGTGTCTTAGAGTCACTGTTGCCAGGTGGCAGTTTTGCTGTGGTTGTCATTACCTGTGTGCACATCAATTTACACAACTGAAGCCAGAGATTTGGGAGAAAAGTCAAGAACACTCTTGTAAGAAATGTGGCCTCACCAGGGCTCCTGGCACAAAGACCTGCACGAGTGGGAAACAAGACATCGGCAACTCCAAGTCAAAGGTGCTTTAGACGGTTGTATCCTGAGCGTGAAGAAGTTTTAAAAAACTACAACCAATTTATTTCCCTGTTATTTTCCAATTTATGAGTTAATGACAGCAATAGATGTTTAAAAAATAACATTATGTCTAAATAAGGCAAAGAGGATCTTTCAGTACGTATAAAATAAAAATTCTAAGTAATAAGAAAGTAATCGCAATTTAATTGGCAGCACCTCTTTCTTTCTTAAGAGTAGATAAAATGGCATCTTACAATCAATGTGTCTTAGATTTGATGAATACTCCATAAGATCACCAATTAGCTGGAGCTGACCTTTGCAATGAAACCCACTGGCCATCCTTACTTGACGGTTTGTATGCATATTATGATCAACTTCTCAAGGAGATTCAAGTTGCCTGAGAACAGAGATGGTGTCTCACAAGAGCACTCAGCTCAGTTCTGGGCACAGGATGGGATAGTGTTAAGGAAAATACCAGAGAAATATTGCGGAAGGAGAAGAAAGTAGTAAAATACAGTGCAAATTTATACTAAAAACAAAACAAAACAAAAAACCCCGACAAAACAAAACGAATTTGTTCTTTGGGAATTGAGGGCCTTCTAAGATCCCTAGAGCTTTTTGTGCAGTGCTCCATAATCATTTAGAAGAGACAGATTTGATAAGCAGAGTGAACAACCAGCCAGCCATATACGTCAGCTTCTGCAATCCTTGTCTGGTCCCTCCCCATCTCATAGTCCACCTCCTCTGCCCACCCTGAGCTCATTCCCTCAGTGGACAGTGATTAATCCCTGGACACTCAGATCTCGCAGACACAGACTCAATAAATACTCAAACACAATTTAGACACAGGCGCTGGCGCTTCCTCTATCCGCATGCCCTGTCACAGACTGGCTCAGCTTTGTTCTCTCAGCTCTGGGTCCTTCTGGGACAGCTATTTCAGCTCTCAGGCCTTTTCCAGCTATAGACCCCCACTGGCATGGCCTGGAGTGGGGTCACTGCACTGGGATGAGCAGAACTAAAGTAGGGGGTGCCATGGGCCTCCCACAGCCCTAGAAAGCTCTCTAAAGTTTAAGACCATAGTATCTTTCAGCAACTGCACAGCCAAGTGATTGTGATATGGCCAGGATTCTCCCTCAGCCTCAGTGCAAAGGGAATAAACAGTGTCTCTTGGCTCTTCTTTACCATGAGAATGTCCGACTTCCTGATTTATGCTCTTCCAGAGTTTGAGACAAATAATATTCCTGCCTAGTCTGATCATCCACCATGGTCATCAGACCTTTGTGTGAATGACCTTTGTTCCAAAAACATCAAATGTGTCCTTTAAAGACAAATATTTACAAGCATGAAGGCTGTGCAAAAGATTGTGCTGTGCTTTGAAGACAATTCCACAGGAAAGCTGAAAGAGTTTTGAGTAATGGCCCTTTCATCGAAATAAGTATATGCCTCCTCAGATGATTATTCTGACAAGAACAATGGAATCTAGGTAGATTTGTTCTGGAATATCAAAATTGAGCCATTTCTTTGTAGAAACTGTTTCTAAAAATTGCCTGAGGATAAGGTATTTTAAGAGGCTTTCTAGAAAGGCAGCAAACATGCATTTCCACAGAAGCAACGAATCGACTAAATATTTGTCCACTAGAACGTAAGATCTGTGGAAGCAGGGACATGGCAGCTTTGATCGAATGAAGGGGGTGCTGGCTCTGTGCCAGGCACTTCATGGTTTTAACCCTTAGAGATGGGTCTAGCTGGCATTTTTACCAAGGTTTCCCTGCCAGCCTAATTCCAAACCCTGCCCTTTTAACCAATAGCTTTTAACCCAACATTTTTCTCTAAAGCAATGGCTGTCACAACTTATGCTCATATATCCCCATAAGAATTTTGAAAAACTACGAACCTCCTTGAATATTTTTTAAATTGACAGCAAGTACTTTTACCTTATGGTTAATTAGTTTTAATTTCTAAATAGATATAATTTCTAGATACTGTAAAGGTTGATATTTTTAAATTAACCTTTTAAATTATTCTTTTATTTGTGTCCACTGTAACATACATACCACAATGATAAAACATCCATTACTGTCCATTTAAAAATGCTCATAGTGTGCCATCTTTGGGCCAAAGTCCCTTTTGTCCCTTGGTTTCTCTGCAGTTATTGAGTATTTACTATTTGTTCAACTCTGTATGAAGTGCTATGGGGGATACCCCCCAAAAGTATTTAATTGGGTCCTACCCTGAATATGGTCCTGCAGGGATTCAAAATATAGACAAATGAAACAAAATACAGATAGGTGTGAAATAGCCCAAATTGGCATGAGTGAGAACAGCTGGGGTAAGCTCTGTGGGCTCTGAAGGTTACTTGAAGGTGGATAGATGGGGATGGTACAATGCTGGGAAGTGGTTTCTAAAGGCATAGAAACAGGCTAGTAATTTTCCCCAGATCACAAAGGCCTGGGGTGGTTTCCCTCATAAATTTTCAGCATCTCTCTTGCATAAACGCGTTATTTACCTACAAAGGAACTTGGGTACAAGTTCTTTGGTGTGGGCTCAGGAGAGTCATAGGGGATAGCATCTCTGAAGCCTTAAAGATCGAATCATCATCGAAGTCATAAGGAAAGCTTTAAGAAAAGAACAACAAACAGATTCCCACACTCTACCTTAGACTGTTGGGATTAAAATCTTTAGGAGCAGGGCCAGTAATCACAAGCTCCCAAAGTGATTCTGACATGCTGAATATAGGACACACTGATCACGACACGCCTCAATGTGTCTCCTATAGAATACTAGTTCTGTTAGATGCTCCTGGAAAGAAGCACCTAAAATGAGTTTATAGATGACTAAATATTGTGACTGGCTTTTCATGACTCACCATACCAGGTAGCTTATTAAAAGCCTTGAGAAATCTTGCACTAAAGGTATTGGTGTCATTTTCCTTAGCCTACCACTTCTCAAATTTACTGGACCTTAGGGGGGAAAAAAAAAATGTATACACACACACACACACACACACGTATATATATTTATATGCAAATATGTATATCCCTACAACATCCTGTGGTATACATTATATGAAGTGCAGGGAAATGACTGAGAAAAATAACATCAAGACACCACTCTGGTCAACTTTTACAATGCCCAGGGATCTGTGGGGGAGGGGTGGGGAGACACTAACGTTTCCAAGATACATGCATGATTTAAGGGACAGTTTGCACAGAAGGAGAGCTGGGTGGGGCAGTGCTATTCAGAAGACTTATTGCACATGAAAATCTTAGGCTTGTTTCCTTCCATCTCTCCTTCTAAGCCTTCTGCAGAGGGACCGGGTTGGTGACCGACACCAGGGAAGAATGCTGCAGGCTGAGGGGAAGAGTGTGAGCTTTGGGAGCCAACGTCAGAAGTGCACTTGGGGTATCTGGGGAAACAGGTCTGATTAGTGGGTACATGTTTGTTTTGTGGCAACACCACAAGATCTAGAATAGGTTTTGGCAAAAACCGTCCTCTTATTCCTATGTACAAGACTTAAGAAGGCTCTTTTAGCTAGGGATGATTCTCTTAGGAACAAAAGTTCCCATTCCCCCACCATGAAAAGTAATGGATTGTTTATAGTACCTCAGAGTCTCTCAGAATGGATTAAAAACGTGATTATACAGCTATTGTATATCTCACCTGACTAGCACAGGACGAGATGGAGGAAGCTGCAAAATTCATTGTCGTAGGAAAAACAGGAGCTTCCTTAAACCAAGATTGACACAAGAGCTCAAGTAAAATAGTTATGAAGTCAGGGCTCTGAGAATAAGCATCCTTAGAAACATTTACAAGGAAATAAAAAGTACCAGAACTATGTTGGGAGAATGGTGTGACAATGGTAGTGAACTAGTTTGGTGAGAGGAAGCAAAAGATGATTTAAGTGGGCCCTTCACTGCATGGAAAAGTGCTGGGCCAGTCTGAGCTGATGTTACTATAAATTATGTTCGGTGGTAGTACAAGTGATGCGTTCACGTGTCTAGAGCTCCCAGATGGTGAAATGCCAAACTGGTGGTGATAAATAGCAGGAAGATCTTACCAAGCTGGGTGAGTGAGCAGAAAAGAGGTAGAAGAGCTTCAGCATAGTAAGGACAAAGTAATATATTCAGGGAAAAATAAAGTAAATGACACTTACAAAAGATAACGGGCTCTGGGCTGTCAGAGAAGAGCTCTGAGCATCATCACCCCAGGATACATCGTGGTAAGAGGGGCTGGGGGACAGACTCAATTCTTCTCTCCTTACTCACAGGACTATGTAA